AAACAACCAAAAACATAGTAAAACAACAACAACAACAAAAACAGTAACAATAAAAAGCAAACCCCATGAAACAATAGTTTTCAAGATAACAGGTATCAGGCAACAAAAGCCATCTCTCTCTGAGATGGGAAACAAACATGGTAAACCCCTACCAGTAGACCAGCTTACTACCTTGAGATCTTCCAGGCCACAGTACAGGGAAGGATAAAAAGTAAGGTAGAGCCCAGTAGACTCCCTGAGTTGAAGAGACACAACTCAGAGCCTGGAGAGACCCAAGTGGCTAAAGTTCATACGCTCGAATATCAGAGAGGAGAGAGCTGCAGAGGGCACCCTGGAGTATTAGGTAGATCAGTCCATTTGTGTGAGGAAACTATCCAATGCTAGGGAAAGAACCATCTAAAAAGATTAGAGAAAACAGTGCCCAGTGCTCACATGCTGGCTGGAAAAAGTACCTGTTCCACAAACTAGAAAAACTCATCATTCCCAAGGCCCTAGGTCAGGACCTAAGGAAGGCTTTGCCTCAGTGAGGAATAAACAGTACTAGACTGAGCACTGCTACAGACCTGCTTAACAAATCATATAAGCAAGACCTCAAAGGATCAAAGAGACACCAGTATCTGTGTGCAAACCCACAGCACCCAACAAGGTAAAATTCACAATGTCTGGTACCCAAAGCTAAGTCATGCAGAGTCAAGAAACCATAACCCAGAATGAAGAGACCGATCAAAACTAACCCATAACTAACAGACATGTTAACATCAGGAGAAAAAGACACAACTGTTCTTAAACAGTTATTAAAACTATAGTCCACGTTTGAAACGTTAACTAGACATAAAAGACATAAAAATCAGCCTAGGCCAGGCGCAGTGGCTCATGCCTGTAATGAGCACTTTGGGAGGCCAAGGCAGGAAGATCGCTTGAGGCTAGGAATTGGAGACCAGCCTGGGCAACATAATGAGACCTTGTCTTTATTTATAACAAACAAACAAACAGCCCAAACCAAACATCCAGATATGAAATCTAAATTAAAAGCCCCAGAAATAATAACTACATAGGTAAATATATAAGATTTTATTTAAATCTCTTTAAAATATAATTGATTGCTTGAATAATAATGATGAATCACAGGATTTATAACATAAGTAAAATGCATAGCAAAAAATAACATAAAGGGGGAAAGAAATATAAATATGTATTATAAGGTTATTACATTATACGTTAGGTGGTAAAACATCAACTGAAGTCAAAGATGTATACTATAAACCCTAAAGCAGTCACTAAAATAACAAAACAGTTATAGTTAAGAGAACAACAAAGAAGGTAAGAAATAAGAAATAATGCAAAAGGCGGTAAAAAAAAGAGAACAAAGAACAGATAGGACAATTAGAAATGAAAACAGCAAGATGACGCAAACAAAACCATGTCAATATTCACATTAAATGTATATGATCTAAACACCCAAATTAAGAGAGAGAGATGGATTATCAGACTGGGTATAAAAAGCAAGATCTAACCATATGCTGCCAATAAGAAATGCACTTTAAAATATAAAGATACAAATACATTTGACCCTTCAACAAGATAGATTTAAACTGCATGAGTCTACTTATACCTGGATTTCTCTCAATAAATATATTGGAAAACGTTTTGGAGATTTGCAGCAACGTGAAGAAGTTTGCAGATGAACAGCATAGCCTAGAAATATTTTTTAAATTAAGAAAAAAGTATGCCATGGATGCATAAAATATATGTAGATATTAGTATATGTTGTTTACTACCATAAATATACACAAATCTATTACAGTAAGTTAAAATTTATCAAAACTTACACAAACACAGACCATACAGGGCACCATTTGCAGTAGAGAGAAATGTAAACAAATGTAAAAGTGCAGTATTAAATCATAAATGCATAAAAGTAGTTATATACAGTATGTACAATAATTTCATAGCTACTATAGTGAGCTCAAGTGTTACAAGTACCCACTTAAAACACCCGGTGATGCTAATCATCTCACGAGCAGTTCATCTCTCAGTAAATTATGTGTCGCAGTAAAAAGCAATCTCTTGTAGTTCTCGCATTATTTTTCATCAGTTTCAGTACAATATTGTAAACCTTAATTAAAACCATGGGACCCATACGAAGTACTACGAGTGTGGCTAGAAGTACTCCCAAGAAGCAGAGAAAAGTCACAACATCAGACGTAAAAGTTTAATTTCTTAATATGTACTGCAGATTGAGGTCTGCAGCTGCTTGCCATTTCAAGACAAATCCAGCATAAAGACCACTTATGAAATTTTTTCTTAAGAAAAAATAAGGAAATCGTGAAACTGTTGCTACAGCTATGCCAGCAAGTGAGAAAACCTTGCACTTTTTGTGAAATAAAAATATGTGTTACTCAACTATTTACATTATCAGTAAGACTTCCAGTCAACAGTAAGCTATTAGTTATGTTTTTGAGGAGGCAAAAATTTATACTTGGATTTTTTTTTTTTTTGAGACAGAGTCAAGCTCTTGTTGCCCAGGCTGGAGTGCAGTGGTGCGATCTCAGCTCACTGCAACCTCTGCCTCCCGGGTTCAAGCAATTCTCTTGCCTCAGCCTCCTGAGTAGCTGGGATTACAGGCACCCACCACTATGCCTGGCCGTTTTGTATTTTTAGTAGAGATGGGGTTTCATCATGTTGGTTAGGCTAATCTCAAACTCCTGACCTTAAGCGATCTGCCCGCCTCGGCCTCCCAAAGTGCTGGGATTACAGGCATCAGCCACTGCACTCGACCTATGATTGGATTTCCGACTACATAAAGAGTTGGCGCCCCTAACCTCCATGTTGTTCAAGGGTTAACTATGGTTTAAAAGGATGAAAAAATATATATATATGCTAACACTAATCAAAGGAAAGTTCTAGTGGTTATAATATCAAAGTAGATTTGAAAGCAAAGATATTAATAGAGATTTTTTAAAAAAGCTTGATAAAACTGATATACCTCTAACCGGGCTAATCAGAAAAAAGAGAGGCCACAAGTTATCAATAGGAATGAGACAACATCATCATAGATGCTACAGATATTAAAATAAGGGGATACCTGTAGCTTTATAGCAGTAAGTTTAAAAACTTAAATAAAATGGATCAATTTTTGAAAGACTACCAAAGTTCACTCAAGAAAAAATAGATAAGCTATACAGTTGTGTGACTATTCAAGAAATAAATCACTTGCAGTGACATACACCTGTAGTCCCAGCTACTCAGGGGTGTGAGGCAGGAGTGCTTGAGGCCAGGAATTCAAGGCTGTAGGGCACCATGATTGCACCTGTGAATAGCCACTGCACTCCAATCAGGACAACATAACAAGATCCGTCTCTAAATAAATAAATAAATAACTTTGTTGTTGTTGTTTCAGATAGTCTCACTCTGTCACCCAGGCTGGAGTGCAAGTGGCATGATCTCGCCTCAAGGCAACCTCTGACTCCTGGGCTCAAGTGATTCTCCTGCTGCAACCTCCCAAGTAGCTGGGATTACAGGCACCCACCACCACGCCCAGCTAATTTTTGTATTTTTAGTAGAGATGGGGTTTCAGGCTGCTCTTCAATTCCTGACCTCAAGTGATCTGCCCACCTCGGCCTCCCAAAGTGCTGGGATTACAGGTGTGAGTCACTGCACCTGGCCAATAAATAATTTTAAAACAAAAAAATGGTAATAACAATTTTCTGGGCACGGTGGTATATGCTTGTAATCCCAGCTACTTGGGAGGCTGAGGGGAGAGGACTGCTTGAGCCCAGGAGTTCAAGACTAGCCAGGCAACACAGTAACTCCCATCTCAAGATAAAATTAAACAAAATAAAGTTAAAAAGAAATTGAAATTGTAGATAAAAACTGTACCCTCCCCCCGGAAAAAAAAAGACATATTTGAAAGTACACACTGAGATGAATTCACTAGTGAATTCTCCACATTTAAGAAAGAAATAATCATAACTGTATGGATAACTGTGTAATTTTACTTTTAGAAAAGATAAAGGGAGAGAATATCCCAAACTCACTGAATGAGGTCAACCTTACCCTGATACCAAAACCAGACAAAGACATTAGAAGAAAACAAAACTACAGAATAATATCGTGAGGCAAAATTCTAATCGAAGTTATAGCAAATTGAATCCAACAAAATATTAAAAGAATACATCTGTAATATCATATACCTATATTATTAATATATTAATGTAAGAATTTTTTTTTTGGAGATGGAGTCTCACTCTGTTGCCCAGGCTGGAATGCAGTGGCACAATCTCGGCTCACTGCAACCTCCACCTCCAGGGTTCAAGTAATTCTCCTGCCTCAGCCTCCCCAGTAGCTGGGATTACAGGCACTCACCACCACGTCCAGCTAATTTTTTGTATTTTTAGTAGAGACGGGGTTTCACCATATTGGCCAGGCTGATCTCGAACTCCTGCCCCCGGGTGATCCACCCACCTTGGCCTCCCAAAGTGCTGGGATTACAGGCATTAACCACTGTGCCCAGCCAATGTAAGACATCTATATTAGAATATATCTATATTCCTAGAAATGCTGGGTTTAACATTCAAAAATTAATCAATGTAATTCAGCATTACAAAAAAAAACCATAGGTCATCTCAAAAGATGCAGAAAAAACTGACAAAACCCAATACCCATTCCTGATAAAACTCAGCAAACAGGGAAGAGGAGGGAACTTTCTCAACCAAATTCAGAGCATCTATTACAACCTACAGCTAACATCACACTTAGTGGTAAAGGGAACAAACTGCTGATACACATAACAACATGGATGAATCTCAATAATTATGCCAAGTGAAAAAAGACAGACAAAAAACAGTATATGCTGAATGATTTCATTTACATAAAACTCTAGAAAAACGCAAGCTAATGCATAGGAACAGGAAGTGGATTGTGGTTGCGTGGGGATGAAGGGAAATAAGGAGGGAGAGGAGGTATAACCCAGGGTCAGGAGGGAACTTTTAGGATCTTACCTTAAAGAAAGAATGAACAGCAGCTGTGGCTTCACTGCGAATCCTCAGTATAGATCCCAGAACGTTAGTCCTACACCTAAAGTGAGGGTATTGTCTCAGGTACTCCAGAGGATGCCTCTCTTTATATTTGATGGGGAAAGCCTGTCAATAAATGAAAAGAACAAATTAGAAGCCAAAAGGGACACTGTTTAATAAAATCAGTTTCCAGGGTACTTCTTAAATAGTGCTTTAGAACCAAACTAAGATCCTTTCCTTATGTCTTAATATAACTGATTTTAATCCACATTATTTCCACCAGGTAAGTGGAATGGTAGGATGGAATCAGAGAGATGTAGGTTTCAATCTAGCTCTACCACTTATTAGATTACCCCAGTAATTGAGCTAATATCATTGAAGCTCATCTGTTATTTATCAAGTTGGTATCCATTAGCTGTGAATCACTTCTTACAAATAGGTTATGATTAATTATGCAAAATTTCCACTGTTTGGCACACAGGAGTTCAAAACATTGTAGATATTAAACATGTACACACAGGCTGGTGTTCCATTTTAAAATTACCTATATGACTTGAAAGCCCATGATCATTCATAATCAATTGGTGCAATTTATTACTATTATCAACATGATACTTCCATCTAGCAGAATAGTAAAGATTTACAAAAAGTTTGAAAGAAAATTATGGTTCCACATTGAAATATGTCTGCTCTGCTCACATTCATGTTAAAAGATTAAGACAGACACATCCTTTCAGACAAAAATCAAAGTTTTAATTAAAAAGATAACAGAGAAGCTAAAAAAGAGCTACACTGGCAGCCTGTTTCTTTCAGTCTCATCCATTCTTTTTAAGTCTTGTACACATACAAACTCTTATGCTGTATAGAAAAAAGCACCATACTTACTAAAAGTGAAAATGTGACCATATCATAATTCTAGGGGTCAGAATTCCCTAATCTCGGAATATTTCAAAATGATACTGAATCGAAGGGCTTCAGGGAAGACGAAGCCATCAACACCAAAGAAGCCCAGGAAGAACAATTTAAGAATATAGTAGTCCCCCACTTACCCACAGGGGATATGTTCCAAGACCCCCAGTGGATACCTAAAACTATGGACAGTATCAAACCATATAAACATTATGTTTTTTCTTTGACAACAATGGCCAGGTAGTATATAAAGTACAGATAAGCTGGACAAAAGGATGATTCACATTCTAGGTGCAATAGAGCAAGACACCTCAAGATTCCAACACACAATGAGAATGGCATGAAATTAAAACTTAAGAATTGTTTATTTCTGGAATTTTCCATGTAATATTTTGAGACCACAGTTCACTGTGGGCAACAAACTGTGAAAAGCAAAACCACAGACAAGGGTGAACTACTGTAGTGAAACACATGGCAAATTTTTAATAATCACAGATCCCTATAAAAAACCAAAAAGAAAAATGGTTACCCTCTATACTACGCGCTTGATTTCCAAATTATTCTACACTCTATTTTTCAGAAATCTTAGAAACTGATTCCTGATTTTACATGTCAATCAGAATTTCTTGGAAATTAAGGATGACATTTTAACAAAAATTGCATTTTCTTCCTTTATTTCCTTACATTTCTTCCTATTATACTGAAAGAATTAACAATGAATTAAAATGATGCAATTTTCCTGTATTTCCTCGCTTTTGTTCATTAAATGTTTGAAAACAGGTATAGCAAAAACACAGAGGATTCAAACGGCTAGAATACAAATTTCAGCTGCGTCACATCAGCTCATAATGTTAAGTAAATCATTTCATCTGGCTGGGCCTCATTTTCTCCATTGTAAATTTAAAGAATCTGATTAATAATCTTTTATTCTCTCTAACCTCTTTATCAAGCTTATAAATATGAAGCTAACGGAAGAGTCTTGCAAAAACAGGCATAAACATGTCTTAATGCCGAATTTCTTGCCTCTGTTCAGCCTAAGCATTATAATACTATTGATCGGCATCACCCAACAGAACTTTCTGTGATAAATAGAAATGTTTTGTGCTATCCAATATAGTAGCCAGTAGCCATATGCAACTACTGAGCACTTGAAATGTGGATAACGCCACTGAGGAACTGGATTTTTTAATTGAATTTCAATTGATTTAATACCAAACAGCCAAAGGTGGCTAGAGCCAACCATTATTGGATGATCGGTTCTAGATCACGCAAAAGTCATTCCTGGCTTTCCTAAGAACGAGCCCGCCCTGGTATATCACTGTGGCTGACTGGGCATGCTTGTAAAAGCAGCAAGTCTTAACTGTGACACACACCACAGAGATGCAAAAATTAACACTTACCTCTCACTAAGCTATCTACATAAATAATTTTTGCTACTGCCTCTTCAGGTTGTAGGACTTGTTTCAATTATCTGGTAAGTTGCAAATGAAATATATTCTAAGTTTCATCTTCCTAATAATCACACTTAAAACAGATTGCTGTCTTAATTAAAGCCTAAATAGCCTCCACAGAAGTGTCAGAAATCATACCTTGGCATCACAATTTCCAACAATTTTAATTATTTCTGCCTTCAGTTCCACATTTTGCCTTTTGGATGGACTTTTTATCAGCTGCCCTTGTATTTCCACAGAACTCCCAAAAGTTAATTCTCTACAGTAACAAAAAACAAGATAAATATCATTACATACAACCTTCGTTTTAATATCAACTATGCAATGAGAACATTAAAATACTTAATGACAAAAGCTTTTACCCTCAATTGGTTAAATAATCTTCAGAATCAATGGATAATCTGTTGTATAAATACAGTATAAAATTATAAAAATGAATTCCATAAGCTTTAAAATGGGAACAAATAGAGTTAAGAATTTGTATAATTCAGAATTAAGAGGTTGTACAATTGCCCTTATTAAAAAGTTAGTTGGCCAAAAACTTTCAAAAGATTACAGAATACATGCGAAAACTGCAAATCAAAATAAAATTAGCTGGGAATTCTCTGTCCTATTTTTGCAATTAAAAAAAATTTTTTTTTTTTACTTAGTTGGCTGGTGATCTAAGCACATAAGGTGCTACTTTCTGGTTAGTAAGACTAGGTTCGAGTTCAAGTTCACCCACAAATTAACTGTATGACAAGTATGAAAAGTCATCTAAGTTCATTTAAGAATCATCTATTAAAAAAGGAGCTCGTAAATGATAGTACATCTGTTCTAATTCTTTTTTCTTTTCTTTAAAGAGACCAGGTATCACTATGCTGCCAAGGCTGGTCTTGAACACCTGGGCTCAAGCAATCCTCCTGCCTTGGCCTCCCAAAGTGCTGGGATTAGAGGCATGAGCCACCATGTCCAGCCCATCTGTTTTAGTTCTAACATTTCATAATTGCAGTAAGTATAACAATAAGTGCCTTCCTAATAAACTATTAAAATATTATAGCAACACAATAAATTTTATTAAAGTCAGTCAGGAGATTCTCCACCTGATTGTCCACTATTGCATTATGGGTGGGGAAATCTGGTATACTTTCATCAACCTGAGAGGGTAATTTGAGATGCTCTGACTTAAAATATGTAATACCTGACATATATGAATATAAATACTATCCTAAGGTTTCCTGGGAATATCTCAAAGAGTCATCCTCCAGAAACTCTAAAATCTAGGTCCCATTAGACGCATGTGATTGCTACACTGATATAAACAATCAAAACAATTACAAAGTTTTTAAAAGGTTACCATTAATAATAGGGCCAGGTGTGGTGGCTCATGCCTGTAATCCCAGCACTTTGGGAGGCTGAGGCAGGCAGATCACTTGAGGTCAGGAATTCAAGACCAGCCTGGCCAACATGGTAAAACTCTGTCTCTACTAAAAATACAAAAAATTAGCCCGGTGTGGTGACACACACCTGTAATCCCAACTACTCAGGAGACTGAGGCACCAGAATTGCTTGAACTCATGAGGCAGAGGTTGCAGTGAACTGAGATCATGCCACCATACTCCAGCCTGGGCGACAGAGTCAGACTCACTCCAAAAAAAAAAAAAAAAAAGTTACTATTACAATTTTTTTTTGTTCTGCCCAGTTGACCACATAGTCTCCGATCCATTAACCTATTCAATGTGTAAACAGCATTAACCCTAACAATCCTCAGAATAGCAAAGCACTCATATTCTAACAAATTAGAATAATGTTCTCTTCCTCAGAGCTGACACCTAACATTAAAATGGTGTTAGTTTTTGGTTTCGGGGGTTTTTTTTGGAGACAGGGCTCTATCACACAGGCTGCAACACTGTGGCAAGATCTTGGCTCACCACAGCCTTGACCTCCAGGGCTCAAGACATGCTCTAGCCTCAGCCTTCCGGGTAGCTGAGATTATTGGTGCATACCACCATGCCCAACTCATTTTTATATTTTTGGTAGAGATTGGGTTTTACTATGTTGCCTAGGCTGGTCTTGAACTCCTTGACTCAAGTGATCCGTCTGTCTCGGCCTCCCAAAGTGCTGGGATTACAGGCGTGAACCACCACACCTGACCTAGTGTTAGTTTTAAAACCTAATGAATGAGACTATAAAGTTTCTTCCATTTATTCAACAGGCAATAATTTGTCATATTGTCAGCACTATGCTACAGGTCAAGAATACAAAAAAGAATGAGATGCCATTCCTAACCTCAGGAAATTAAGAGTCTAGCAGGAGGAGTCAAATAGGAATACAGTTGATTACCATCCAATGTGATATGTTTTAACACAGATGTAGGCACGGGATGCTATGGGAGCACAAAAAAGGGGTAACTGACACAGTTATGGGATAGGAACATCAGATGATGCCTAACTAAGCAGGAACTATGAAAGACAAGAGGAGAAGAGGCTGTATTGGGCAGAGGCAGCAAGATGTACAAATGCTATTAGGAAAGAGCAGAACAGCTTAGGGGAGCCGCAAGTAATTAAGAAAGACTGAAGTGAAGCATAGGTTGGGGACATCAGCATGTGATGATGTCAAATAGAGGAGGAAAGGCCTGAGCTTGAAGGATCTTGATTCCAAATATTTGGACTTGATCCTCAAAGCTATGAAAGCAGATTTGTTTCAAAAGATTACTCAGGGTTCAATGGAAGCACTGGTTTAGGGAAGGGAGAAGCACTAGAAGTGAAAAACAAAAATCAAAGAACTCTTTTAAAAAACAAAACTCACCTACTGTCAAGGCTTGAATCTGCAACAACCTGAAGGCTTTCCAAAGACGACCCATCATTTACATGCAGGAACAAGACTTCCTTCTGGGATCGGACAGAACGAATCCATCCCTAAGGAAGAGAAATATTTCTAATGTGAGAGTAAAACATTTTGTGTTTTCATTACACATACACACACATAGAGTAAATGAAAGAAAAACATGTATGCACAATCCTGCCTCAACAAATCGACTTCTTTTAGTTCATCAATATGCATACTTAATTTTATATGTTCAATCACAATGGGATACACACTTTGGTATTCTATCTTTTGTTTTCATAATAAAGCACAACATTTCGAATGGATGCCTCACATTCCTTCAAATTCCTTCACATTGATGAGCCTAATTCATATAACCAATCTTCCCAATATTGGCAATTCCAGGTATTTCCTCCAAGACCCCTGCCCCCTGGCCCAACAATAAATAACAGGGCACATATCTTGGTGCCTTTCTCAGGATATGGGGTACGCCCTTCTTTCTGGTTTCATCTCACCATGCTGCCCAGAAGGCACCTCCTCTTTGGTGATTCTAAATCAACAGTAATTTCCAGGCTGGGTGCAGAAATCCCAGCACTTTGGGAGGCCGAGGACGGATCACTTGACGTTGGGAGTTCGAGACCAGCCTGGCCAACATGGTGAAACGCTGTCTCTACTGAAAATACAAAAATTAGCCAGGCGTGTTGGTGCTCGCTTATAGTCCCAGTTACTGGGAGGCTGAGGCAAAAGAATCGCTTGAACTCGGGAGGTAGAGGTTGTAGTGAGCCAAGATCGCGCCACTGCACTCCAGCCTGGGTGACAGAGCAAGACTCCATCTCAAAAAAAAAAAAAAAAAAACTAATTCCAAACGACCACTTTCTTTCACTTGTTAAAGTTAACATTTATTGAGCACTTTGTAATGTGGTTCTATTCTAAGCTCTGTATAAATATTATGCTACTTAATCCTCAGAAGAACTTAATGAAGCGGTTATCATTTTAGAGCTGAAGAAACATTGTTTAGAGATGTCAGGAAAACCTCTCTAAATATTCCAGGACATAGTCACCAATTAGTAGAGTTGGAATTCAAAAGGAAGTTCTTACTTCAAAGTTCATGTTCTTATCAACGAGCTTTTCTGGGACGCTATTATAATTCTGCCCCATCCCCAGTTCCCCTGCCTAGGGAACACATCCTTCAGAACTTGGCTGAAACGTCACCTCATGCAAGATATCTTCCTTAACTTTCTCAGTTACGTTAACTTCCTGTTTTCTTACAGTTCTTTTACTTACCTTACTACCAACTATCCTATTGCTAAAATTATTTGTTTTAACCATTGGAGCAGGGCTATCCAACAGAAATATAATGAGTCACATGTTTAATTTAAAATTTCGTTTTGTGGCCATGTTGAACATAAAAATAGGTGAAATATTTTACTTAACCTATTATGCCCCAAATATTATCAACATATAATCAATATAAAAACATATTGAGATATTTTGCATTCTTTTTGGTTCTTCAAAATTTGTATGTATTTTACACTTAAAGCACATCTCAATTTGGACCAGTCAAACTTCAAGTGCTTAGAGCCAAAAGTGGCTGGTAGCTACCATATCAGATCTCACAGGACTAAACTGAAATCCTCTAACCTGGGCAGCAGGTTCTCTTTTCATCTTTGAATTTTTCTCTTGACTAGCGCACAAAGTATCATTAATGTATGCCTAATTAATAGACAAACAGACCTATGGAAAGAATATGGAACTCAAAGAAATGCAAAGAGGAGTAGATTGGTCATACTGCTAAAAAGCAAAGGATATGTGAGGACAACAAAAATCACTGCAACAGCAAGCCATGACTCTGTCACTACAATCATGGGTGACAGAGCAAGAACCTACTCAAAAACTAATAATCTATTTATTATAACCACATCTGCCAGGCTTATGCCTGTAATCCCAGCACTTTGGGAGGCAGAAGGAGGAGGACTGCTTGAGTCCAGGAGTTCGAGACTAGCCTGGGCAATATAGTGAGACCCAGCTCCACAAAAAACTTAAAAAATTAGAGTATGGTGGTGCATGCCTATAGTTCCAGCTACTCTGGAGGCCGAGGCAGGAGGACTGCTTGAGCCTGGGAGATGGAGACTGCAGTGAACTGAGGTCACACCACTGCACTCCAGCCTGGGTGACAGAGCTAGATCCTGTCTCAAAAAAAAATAACCACACCAGTGTACTTCAGCAACCTAATAAGAAACAGTCAAACCACCTTGTTTATTCTGCACCTCTTCTATGTGGAGCTGCTGCAAATATTATACTTGCAAGAGAAATAATAGCAGCTAACATTTGTAGACTATAGCCACTGTTCTAAGTATCTTATTTCCATTACCTCATTTAATTTTCAGGACTCAGGGACAATTATTATCTCTGTTTTCATAAGACGAAAATAAGGTGTAGAACGCATAAACGCTATGCAGAGATTTAAACCTAAGCTGCTTAACTCCAGAGCCCTTTCAAACTGCTACATTCCACTCTTTCTCCGAATTCATTAAAAATAAATTACATGCAGAGCCCCACAATAGGCACTGAGGTGACTAAAAGTTTAAAAGGCATGGTTTGAACAAGTATTTACTGTCAGCCATGTGTGATTACAAAGGCAGGTAAGACACGGTTTCTGCTCTCAAGGAGGGAGGTCAAGACAACCACTTTATAAACCTGGATATTCATTATAAGGGATAAAGACAGAGAAAGGGGGCTTGTTCGTTTACACTTTTGGTATGATTAACAAGTTTACAGGTAGTACCCTGGAATCATGAAAGCAAAGTTCTAGTGCTTTACAGTCATCGGAACAGTTTTGCGAAAAGTAATGGAAAGCAGAAAAGTGGAAATCCGCGACGCCTACCTACACTTTCTTACTTTTCCCTGCTGGGGGTTGTCTGACCCGACCGTAAAAGAAAAGCTAGATGTGGATGTGCCATATAAGTCCCTACAAGAAAAAACCCACTCCCTTCCCATTCACCAACCTGGACCTTAATGCGCTCCCCACTCGTGTTCTGGGCCCCGAGAGCGTCCCGCACGCTCAGTCTGGCTGAAGGTTTGTGCCTGGGAAAAGGGGCGGAGGAACAGAAGCGCACGGATCGGAGCAGACAGCGGACTCCCAGCATCGCGCGGCCGCCCAGGCCCTCCGCGGGAGCAGCCCAGACCCCGCGGTTGGAACCCCGCCTGCAGCGGCCCTCCTTTCTCAGCGGCTCCCCTTCCGCGGCCGCAGCTCTGCTCTAAGGCACTCCAGAGCCCCTCGGATGCGCGCTTACTCCCTCAGAACACCCAGCTCTGTCCCCACAGAACCTCTCCGTTTCCCACTTCCAACGGGGCGGAATGGTCAGGACACTAGGCAAACGCCGGAAACAAACCACGTGCAGTTGGCAGCTAGGGCGCCCCACTGCCCGCGACAATTCTAAACCTATGCGCAGACCCCGAGCCGCAACACGCGCCGCCACTCCGACGACACCACGCCAACGCCGCTTACGTCATCACGCTACGACGAAGAAGGGAGAGCATGCGTACTTGTGACCCAGGCTTAGGGAAGCGTGCGGGAGGGGGCGGGGTCAGGAGCCGAGACGGCGCGGAGCTAATGCCGTGAGGTTGTAGAGTTTATCGCTGAAAGAACCTGGGAGCACATCTGAGGGTCTTCATTTCTAAAGTTTCCAGGTGAGGCTGAGAAACTGAGAGGCAAAGAGTGACTGATGGCAAGGGAAACCGTCTCCATCAGTCAACAACAGGGATCCAACTAAGAGGAGGCTCTTAGCTGTTAACAGGATTCGCTTGAAGAGATCAGTCGTTCCGTTCCTGAGTTCTCCGCAGAGAAAAATCAGACATAGCCCCTCTGCACAAGTCACACTTGTGTGGTATCAGCTAAACAGGCAGTTGCATAAAAGGGTGATCAGTTTGCCTGACAGCGCCTAAGCGTGGGACGCCAGAGGTGGCTTCCTGGAGAAGGTAGTCCTCTAACAGGTAAATAAGAGGAACTGGAGGGACCTTGCATATGGCCGGCAAGACAGTGGGAAGATGTAGCAGAGACTGGAGGAATGTCGAGTGTTACCAGCTAGAATCTTCCAAGTCTCCCTCTTCCCTCTGCCCTCCAACACAGCTATCTGCATTTGTTTGACCTGGAAACAATGACCCTTTTATATATTGGGCTACCTTTTGTTTAAAAAAAAAAAAAAATCTGTAACTCAATGACAGTCATGAAAAGCTTTTCAATCTAATTTTAAAAATAAAACGTTTGGCCGAGTGCAGTGGCTCTCGCCTGTAATCCCAGCTCTTAGGGAGGCAGAAGCAGGAGAATTGCTTCAGCCCAGGAGTTCAAGACCAGCGCTCGCGCTCGCTGTCTCTCTCCCCCATCTCTCACTCTCACTCTCTCACTCTCACTTTTACCTTACTTAAAGTTGCTACTGTTATTATGCCCATTTTACAAATAAGAGAACTTAGGCACAGAAAGGCTAGGTGACCTACTTAAGGATACACATTCCGTAAGTGTGAGATTTAAACCCAGAAGTGCTGGCTCTATGCATTTAAGCAGTGTGCTATATTACATAGTATCCCAAGGTGGAAAATAAGACCATGATCCCTTCCATCAAGGAGTTCATGCTTTAGAGACGGAGACAAGGAAGAAAAGAGACTACTGAAATATAAACCAATAAGTGCACACATAGATGTATGAGTTGTCTGCATTTGGCCTGAAAACAGTCACCCTTATATATTAGGCTACCTCTTAAATTTATTCAAAAAATTATTTTTGATATTTTATCCAAATATATTGGATAAAATATAATAAAATGATAATATATATACATGTATTACAATATTATATGTTATATAAATGTGTTCTCTGGTTCTTTTAATAAATTAAAATTATAAATATAATAAAATTATAATTATAAAATAGTATAAAATTATAATTAAATTATAATATATTGGATAAAATATATGTTTATAATATAAAAATATGTCGGATAAAATATAGTCCAGAGAAGGAGAAAATTAAGCTGAATTCTTGAAGAGGATCAATATTTTGCCAGGTAGGCATGTAAGAAAATTTCCTGCCAGAAGGTGAACAGGGAAGGTTGCCAGGAGGGCAAATGGCCTGGAAAAATTGTAAAACCATTCTCAAGACGGACTAGAAAATATCTCATCTGAAAATACTCGGTGTTGGAGGTGGAACCTCCTGAGAGGTGTTTGGATCATGGGGGCCTCATGAAGGCCTTGGTGCCCTCCTTGCAGGAGTGAATTCCCACTCCATTAGTTTTTGCAAGAGCTGATTGTTGAAAAGAGCCTGGCACCCCCCTCCCTCTCTCTTCTTTCCTCTTGCCATGTGATGCTTGCTCCTCTTGCCTTCCTAAATGGCTGAATGACAACAAACCTTGACATTATTTACTTTGAGTGGAAGCAGATTCTGGTGCGATGCTTCTTGCACAGCCTGCAGAACTGTGCAGATAAATGAATACACTTCTTATCGATTAAAAAAATATATAGGCCAGGCGCAGTGGCTCATGCCTGTAATTCTAGCACTTTGGGAGGCTGAGGTGGGCGAATTGCCTGAGCTCAGGAGTTTGAGACCAGCCTGACCACAGTGAAACCCCATCTCCACTAAAATACAAAAAAAATTAGCTGGATGTGGCGGCATGTGCCTGTAGTCCCAGCTACTGGGGAGGCTGACTCAGGAGAATTGCCTGAACCCGGGTGGCGGAGGTTGCAGTAAGCTGAGATCGCATCACTGCACTCCAGCCTGAGCAACAGAGTGAGACTCTGTCTCAAAAAAATAAATAAATAAAAAGGGCACTTCTTGAACCTTGAGAAAGGAAAAAATGGAAACTTGCAGCCAGTGCCATCGGAATTATGCAGCTATGGACTTTTAAAGGAAAATAAGTTTGTTGGTTCAAAATCTGGGGAACAAGACAGTCTGGGGTACATAGCAATGATGTTTATCCCAGTGAAAATCTTTTCTTTGCCTATGCCTACCCTGTCCAAGTGATCAAAAGTAGTAACCAGTTGGCTCATTTCTTACTCATGCCACTTTCTGTCTTGCCTTCTGCTATGACTTGGATATGGTTTGTTTGTCCTCACAAAAACTCATGTTGAAATTTAATCCCTGATGTGGTGGTGTTGGGAGGTGAGGCCTAATGGAAGGGGTCTGGTGTGTGGGAGCAGATCCCTCGTGAGTGGCTTGGTGCTGTTCCCACGGACTGCATGAGTTCTTGCAAGAATGGGCTTGTTCCCACCACAGTGGGTTGTTACAAGGCCAGGATGCCCCTCAGGGGTTCCCCTTTTTGCACATGTCCACTTTCCCTTTGACCTTCTTCACCACGTTGTGATGCAACACAAAAGCCCTCACCAGAAGCCAGGGCCATGCCCTTAAACTTCTCGTCCCGTAGAACCATGAGCTAAATAAGCCTCTTTCCTTTATACATTGCCCAGTGTCAGGTATTCCTTTACAGCAACATAAAATGGACTAAGGCACCTTCTTTCTCTCCCAACTCCCCCACTCCAGGGGACAATGTGCAGCTTAAGAACTGGAGTCTGAATCCCAGATAGTGAGGATCCTGCCTTCCTTTACCCTCTCACTACTTGTTTAAGCCAAAAGGTTAATTATGTTATTAGCAGGGGACCACTGCCCCAGTGTGTTGAAGACAAGGGAAAACTGGTTGAAACTGAAGATTAGTAAATATATATATATCTCTCATTGAAAGTTGACTATACCACTTATGCTTCTGGTGCTCAGTTCAAACCATCCCCTGTATCTTGTGCTGTATCAAATCACATCACCTTCTTGTTTATTTTTGTTTTCAATGTTGGCTTGACACCTTTCCCTTTAGATTCATCACCTTCCAGACAGTAGCACAAATGTTTTTAATATGAGTATATAGTTGACCCTTGAACAACATGGGTTTGAATTGTGCCGGTCCACTTGTATGTGAATTTTTTTCAGTAAACATATTGGAAATTTTCTTGGAGATTTGTGACAATTTCAGAAAACTTACTAATGAACAGTGTAGCCTAGAAATATCAAAGCATTTAATAAAAAGGTCATGAATTCACAAGATACATGTAGTTACTAGTCTATTTTATCATTTACTATCACAAAATATACATAAGTCTATGATAAAAAGTTAAAATTGGCTGGGTGCAGTGGCTCATGCCTGTAATTCCAGCACTTTGGGAGGCCAAGGCATGCGGAACACTTGAGATCAGGAGTTCAAGACCAGCCTGGCCAACATGGCGAAACCCCCATCTTTACTGAAAATATAAAAATTAGCCAGGCATTGGCCGGGTGCAGTGGCTCACGCCTGTAATCCCAGCACTTTGGAGGCCGAGGATGGATCACCTGAGGTCAGGAGTTTGAGAACAGCCTGGCCAACATGGTGAAATCCCATCTCTACTAAAAAATACAAAAACCAGCTGGGTGTGGTGGCAGGTGCCTGTAAATACAGCTACTGGGGAGGCTGAGGCAGGAGAATCACTTGAACCTGGGAGGCAGAGGTTGCAATGAGCCGAGATCAAACCACTGCACTCCAGCCTAGGCAGCAGAGGAAGACTTCATCTCAAAAAAAAAAGAAAAAAGAAAAAAGAAAAAAATTAGCCAGGTGTGGTGGCGCATGCCTGTAATCCCAGCTACTCAGGAGGCTGAGGCAGGAGAATCGCTTGAACCTGGGAGGCAGAGGTTGCATTACGTCACTGCACTCCAGCCTTGGTGACAAAGCGAGACTCCGTCTCAAAAAACAAACAAACAAACAAAAAACACCCACAAACCTTGCATGGTGCTATTCATAGTTGAGAGAAATTGTTATAAGACATGCAACCTTAAGGTTTAACAAATAGGGCCAAATTTTTTCCCAAGTGTCACCAGTGTCACCAGCCATATATGAGAGTTTCAGTTGCTTTACATTCTTGTCAACACTTCATCTTTGTTTTTTTAATGTGAAACACTTCATAAATATGTGTGTCATCCTTGAACGGGCCATGCTAATCTCTGTATCCTTTCAATTTTAGTATATATGCTGTTTAAATGAGAATAATACTTGGTCTTAATCAAACTTTCTGAAGTAGCTGTATTGGTGGGGGAGTAGCATCCACTGCTGTTTTAATTTGCATTCCCCTGATTATTATTTTTGTTTGATGCCTTTTTAGTGTTTATTTTCGTTGGACTTTATTCTTGGTAAATTGACTGTTTACATCTTTTGCCCATTTTTCTATTGAAAAATGAGTAGTCTTATTTTTCCTAAAGGCTACTTTTATTGAGTAGTCTTTTTTCTTATTAATTTATATAAGTTCTTATTGCCCATGTTTTAGTTACGAGTTCTTCTCAGTTATATGCATTGCAATATTCAACCACTCTGTGGGTTGTCTTTTCTATGGTGTATTGTGAGTCATTCAGCAAACCTTGAAAATATTCGATCCTTTTCTTAAGAGTGAACAGTTCTTGAAGAAAATTATTAAGACACTCAAGCATTACTCTTTATATTTTTTCTGGCAATGTAAGACCACTGCTTTACCATGTCTCCTGTTATTCTTTAAAAAATGGTTTCTTTTCCTAATTTATGTTTCCTTACATTTTTTGTTCTCGTTGCACAGTTAATGGCCTTCTCCACAATTTTTATGTGGTGATCTTCAAGGAACAATTTTAAAGTTTAGAATCTCACTGTACATTGTTGGAGACTGATTCTGGCTGTTTGCAAATATTTTTGTGTATGATTAACCTCTAGTTTACACCAGAAAACAAGATAACTCATAAAAGAAAAATCATGTATTTTCTTTTGGATTACGCAAAACTTCAAAGGTTGAGATTCACTTTTTAAAATTTCTCTTTATTGCAGCTGGGTGCCATGGCTCACTCCTGTAATTCCAGCACTTTGGGAGGCTGAGGCAAATGGATTGCTTGAGGTCAGCAGTTCGAGAGCAGACTGGGCAACATGGCAAAATCCCATCTCTACCAAAAATACAAAAAATCCAAGTGTGCTATTGCACACCTGTGGTCCCAGCTACTCAGGATCACCTGAGTCCAGGAAGTGGAGGTTGCAGTGAGCTGAGATGGCACCACTACACTCCCACCTGAGTGTAGTTGACAGAGTAAGACCTGTCTCAAAAAACAAAATAAAAGTTATCTTTATTGCATACACAGTGTATTAGTCCATTTTCATGCTGCTGATAAAGACACACCCAAGACTGAGTAATTTATAAAGAAAAGGAAGGGTTTTTTTTTCTTTTCTTTTTTTTTGAAACGGAGTCTCGCTCTGTCACCCAGGCTGGAGTGCCGTGGCACAATCTCAGCTCACTGCAACCTCCACCTCCCAGGTTCAACTGGTTCTCCTGCCTCACCCTCCTGGGTAGCTGAGATTACAGGCATGCACCACCATGCCTGGCTAATTTCTGTTTTTTTTTTTTTTTTTTTTTAATATAAATGGGGTTGCACCATGTTGGCCAGGCTGGTCTCAAACTCCTGACCTCAAGTGATCTGCCTGCCTCAGCCTCCCAAAATGCTGGGATTATAGGCATGAGCCACCATACCCAGCAAAGAAAAGGAGGTTTAATGGACTCACACTTCCACATGGCTGGGGAGGCCTCACAATCATGGCAGAAGGCAAAAGGCATATCTTACGTGGCAGCAGACAAGCGAGAGAACTTGTGCAGGGGAACTCCCATTTATGAAACCATCAGAGCTTGTGAGACTTATTCACTGCCACGAGAACAGCATGGGAAAGACCCGCCCCCATGATTCAATTACCTCCCACCAGGTCCCTCCCATGACATATGAGACTGTGGGGAGCTACAATTCAAGATGAGATTTGGGTGGAGACACAGCCAAACTATATCATGCAACTTCATAATGAGCACTCTATCTTGTCCTTTTACTATTACACCTATATTATGCAGCATTTTCTATTAATGAGACAGAAAAGAAAGGACAGTGGTTTCCAGTTTCCAAAAATGTTACATGTGAAGAAAAAATGCATCTGAAACAATAAACTCTACAAATGATCAGATTATTTTTTAGGGGGTAGTACTTTATAACTAATATAATTTAAGTTTACAACCGTGAACAAAAACTTGATTGACCTTTGGTCAGTATTATTATTGTATTAAAATTTTCTACAAATTAAACACTTTTAAAGAGGGAAAAAGTGTCTACAGTCCCATATCCCTTTATTGCCTGCACCTTGGGCAGATTACTCTCACTTCCCCACTCTTGGTATGTCTCTGCTGGCAAGTATGATATTTTCTGTAAACTTTTGGCAAATACTTTGTCACATAAGAAAGTTCCCTGCTGTTCCTGAGGGATTACTACTCACCCAGTATATGGTCAGCTCTAACTACATAATGTCATGAAGAATGAAGGATATATTTGGAAAAGAATATAGTGTGCTTAACAATCTGTAAATTCTAAATTTGAGAAAGTTTTATTCCTATGGCAAAGAATCTGGAAAATATGTTTTCCTGAAATCCATGCAGCCATCAGCATTCACCATTGGTCTAAAACTAACAGACAATCCTGTAAGCACTTAAAGATACAAAAAGGAGATGAACTTATGCACTGGCTTTTCAAGCAGGAAGATAATTAACAATGACTCTGTACATTTGTTTAAATTTCTTTCAGAAGAGGCTTGTGAAAGGTATATTAGAACAAGGATGGCAAACTGATTCTACTTTTGCCTGGATGTTTCCATTAATAGGTGTATTCCTTTAGCAGAACATTCTTGAATTCCACCAAACCCTGTGAACGACAGTAAAGAAGATTCACCACATGTTTTCCCTGCAAATGGATTTATCCTACTCTTTTCAAGTTTTACTTTCAGAATCATGTACATTGACAGACATTAAAAAGGCAAAATCTTTATTTTCAATGTATTAAATAATTTAACATTTCTTACTAGAGTATGATATACAGTATATCCAGAAAGAGTATGACATATATGCACTAATCATAAATTATACTAAAAAGTCATTGATTCAACTCCTGTTTTTGTAATAGTCTAATGTTTACCAACTTGGAAGAAGCCCAACAAAATTATAAAGTTTGGTTTACTTTTCTTATTGACTGGGTATGGTACCCAGCCTTTAAGATGGCCCCAATGATTCTTGCTTCCTGGTGTTCACACCCTTGTATAGTCTTCTGTGACATTAATCATATAGGATTAGTTTATATAACCAGAAGAATACAGCAGATATGTTGGTGTGTGACTTCTGAGGACAAGTCATAAAAGACATCACTCCTTCTGCTTTCCTTTCCTGGATCACTTGCTCTGGGGGTACGAAGTCCCATATTGTAAAGATACTCAACTAACCCTAAGCAGATGTCAATGTGGCAGGAAACTGAGGCATCCTGCCAATAGTCAGGGCCACCTTGCCAGACATGTGAATAAATCATCTTAGATGCAGGTCCTCTACCCCGCCAAGCCTTTGGATTACTATAGCTCCAGCTGACATCTTGGTTACAACCTCATGAGAGACTCCTAGCTAGAATCACCGAGCTAAGCCATCCCCAAACATCTGACCCACAGAAACTGTGAGAATAAGAAATATTTACTATTGTATTAATGCATATGTTTTGGGATAATTTATTATACGGCAATAGCCAACTTACACACTAGATAAATGTATCTCTCTTCAGCTTAATGTGGAACATTGGCCCTCACTCATTTTCCCCTCTTATCTCCTAGGATAAAACACACTTTTGTTAATAACATTGGCTCATAGTGGTAGAAGGGGTGGGGAGTAGGGGGATAAATCCAAATTCCTTGAGATTCCTTCTAGAAAAGTAAAACAGAATTTCTTAATATTCAGATACACTTCATTGGGGAATATAAGAATTTTCTGCTCATTCTCTAGGAATCAGTGATGTGGAATATTAACATACAGCTGAAAAACAGGTTTTCTCCTTAAAATCCAGTTTCATTGTAGATATTTCTGACAGTGTGAGTACATCTACTCTTGGCAGTATAGAGCCTGCCTTTAAAATTGGACTTCGTTGAGAAAAACAAGGGAGGCTTATATCCCTTTCAAAAGAAGAAAAAAATGGTGTGTTACATAGTTATGTTGGAAGAGAAACCATTGAGATAAATGCTACAGTTTGTACAAATATACTGCATTTGCTCATTGCTTCTTTCTATCCCTTGGTTTGAGTTCTACATTTTAGAATAACATAGAAATTTTTTTTTATTAACTTTGTAAGGACTCTGTGAGTATTTGAATTACTATGCCCTAAAGTTAAACATCTCTGTTTTATTATCCAATGTCCAGTTAGCATTGGAGCTCCCATCTGTGACTGGGACCTGTGTTTCCTGGAATCCTCTTCCATTTGTGGTTCCAGATTAGAGTTTTCCAATAAGAGAAACTCATTAGTTTTCAAAGCAAAAGACATTCTCCTTAGAAGGTAGTGGTGGTTGGTCATGGCAACTTCCTCAGGCTCAGTAACTTTACAGGCATCTCCGCTTTGTTTTTCCACTTTTGCAAATATATGTGACATGGTGAAAAAGTCCAATATTCACATAATTTGAGTTTCATAAGGAGAGTAAAGAGAGACATAATTGGAACAATACTTGAAGAGATCATAGCCAAGAATTTTCAAAACTAGTAAAAGACATCAAACCACAGACTCAAGAAACCCTACAAACCCCATGCAGGATAAAAAACAAAAAACAAAACACTCTATTCCTAGGCACATAGTAAAACTCCTGAAAACAAAAAGAAAAGGGAAAATCTTAAAAATAGTTTCACTAAATTCAAAGGAGCAATAAATAAGACAGACAGCTGACTTTTCGAAAGCAATTATGGAACCAAAAGACAATAGTGATATCTTTAAAATTCTGAAAGAAAATATCTGCCAACCTAGACTTCTGTACCTGAGAAATATCCCTCAATAGTGAAGGTTAAATAAAAGAGGTTTCATATAAACAAACACTAGGAGAGTTTATTATTAGTAGACCCACACTACAGAGGTCTTCAGGCAGAAGGCAAATAATCCCAGAGAAAAGTGTGAAAACTCATGAAGGAATAAAGAACAGTGGAGAGGGTAAAAG